TTTAGGGTTTAGGGGGTTGGGGTTCGGGGGTTTAAGTCTTAGGGTTAAAGGATGTAAAGGTTTAGGGTTTCGGGCTTTAAGTTTAGGGTTCAAGGATGTCAAATGTTAAGATGTAGGGATAGAGAGATTGTGCTACAGAGATTGCCCAGGTTTACTTGGAGGTTCATGGGTAGTTATATGCAGGGTTATAAGTAGGGTAACTAGAATTATAACGCATATTAGGGGACTTATAACCCCACTTATAACTGCCCATGAACCTCCAAGTAAACCTTTGAAAGCAAGCCCCAACCTCCCAAAGCCAAAGAACCTCAAGCAGGGGCGGGCTGCCCTTTCCGTATCCTGCACAGCCGCATCCTTCAAGCACAGTTTTATCTTCAGCACATGTGAGTATAATGTATGTATATATATATATACATACATATACACATTTGTGTGTGTACATATATATATATATATATATGTATGCACGCGTGTGATATCTGCTTCGTGGCATGGCTGTCTGTAGGTATGTAGGTGTGTATGTATTTATGTATGTATGTACGAACGCTGGATCTATGTGTGTCGATGTATTGACGGATCTATGTCATCTATGTATTTACCGGTGTACATATGGGTGGTTGTCTAAATTATGGTCCCTTTTTGGGTCCGTAATATAATACGGCACCTAATATTTAGGGTACCCAAAAAGGGACCCTAATTTTGACAACCACCCATATGTATATATGTTTGCTTGTGTGGTTGCTTTTTTGCTTGTTCGCTGAAAACCCTCTGCGTCACGTCGGAGATCTGAAGTCGGGACATTTCCCCAAACCCTGAACCCCTAGGGTTTTATTGTTTGGGCTCCTTTTCGAATCCCTAAACCCTAAACCCTAAACCCTAAACCCTCAACCTAAACCCTAAACCATAAACCCTAAACCCAAAATCCTAAACCGTATTTATACAACCCAAAACCCTCCGCTAAATATTCGGCTCCTACACCAAGAATTCTTAAACAAAGCATGTCGGCAGCACATCAACGACGGAGCTGAACACCAGGAAGGTGCCTCCCTTGGAAGACTCCTAAACCCTAAACCCTAAACCCCCTAAAAGCAGGATGGAGGTTTCACGGGCGTAGGGTTTAGGCTTCAGGGCTTCGAGTCGCTTCTGCGTTTGCCAATCCTTGCCACGCTTCGGAAATGGCATTGTGAAGGAAGCGCTCTCAGCTCCGAAAATCCTACGGTTTAGGGTTTAGGGTTTAGGGTTTAGGGCATGTCAACCCAAACCCCGTAGCCGTTTACGGCTTAGGACTTTGGTTTGGTCTCAGGTTGTGGGGCGGTTCGGGCAGTTAGGGGTTTAGGGGTACAGGGGTTTGGGTTTCGGGGTTTACGGCTGCATATGTTCAATCACAAACTCTCTCGCTATGATTACCGGTTGCTGTGCACGCCGGCTACAAGACATGACTGTGCTAGAATGTGCATGTACCTATGGCTCAAGACAGAGATCTTGACTCAAACACAGCCATAGGCCGTGCATTTCGGTAGCTTACTAGGAAATGTCCATGACACCACAGTGAGCAGTAAGATAGTCCCGTGCAAGATGAGGCAGTCTAGGATGTGTGCGAGCATGAGTGCACATGTATGTATACGTGAGAAACAAAAAGGCATCTGACTCCCACTATATTGTATATAGATATATGTATTATATGTATGCATACTCACATACGGATCTATGCATGTGTGCGTGTGTGTGTGTGTCTGTAATTGGCAATTGTTTGTATGTACATCTGTACGCACGGTCCGGCTGCTGTGTGAATACTATCATAGAAGCAGAAATGTTCATTAATCAGGAACATGGCCGTGGTAATGACAAGTGTAGCTTTCCATTGTGACACTAACTACAGTGGTGATACGGCTGGCAACAAGAACAACGACGGCGCTGTTAAAGATCGTGGCGAGAACAGAGAAAGGACTACTAGTTATTAGAACAAACAAGCAGCATAAAGAAGTAGTGCAGTAGACGGTAGTAATCACACGAATTATCGTTACTACTATCATCCTGGTACAAGTAGTATTAAAGAAGAAGAAGGAGGCCGCTGAAATCTAAACCCTAAACCCGAAACCCAGAACCCTTAAACCCTAAATCCCTAAACCCTAAAACCTCAAAACCCCAAAACCTAAACCCCAAAACTCAATACCGTAAACCGTTGCCCTTGCATGGCCCTTCCGAGAATCGGGCAGGTTTCAGAACTCGGAAGACCTCGCCGTACATCCGCGTCCTTATGGAGCTTGGCGGGGATCTATTGGGCTTTGGGTTTTGGGCTTTTGGGTTGGGGCTTTGGCTTTAGGGGTTTAGGGTTTGGGGCTTTGGGTTTAGGGGTTTAGGGTTCGGGGCTTTGGGTTTTGGGGCTTTGAATTTCGGGCTTGTGGTTTAGGGTTTCGGATTTGCGTTTGGGGATTTGGGTTTTGGAACCCTTAACCCCTAAACCCTGAACCCTAAACCCCTACACCCTGAACCCTCAACTCTAACCCCCAAAACCGTCGAGCCCCGAAGCCTTAAATCCTAAACCCAAAACGCTAACCCCCATATAGAGCCTCACGACTTGCCCATGTTAGTCTTTGGGATTTGTATTTTCTTATACTGCACAGATTAAGGGTTTCAGGGTTCAGGGTTTAAGGTTTAGCGGTTTAGGCTAGACTGTATACGACAATATACCCCAAAGCCCCTCTTCATCAAGGCCCCTAAACCAGCTCCAGAATACCCTGCCTGAAACACCCGGGCGCTGGGCATGTTCTCGTGAATGTGGTCCGCATCGCAGGACACCGCGTCCGTCCTTGGGCAAAGCGAAAAAAATAGGGCTTGGGGGTAGGTATCAGTAGACTCACAGTAAGAAAACCCTCAGGACTGAGTGGTAGTATTAGTACATACTCAGGCTTCTATATCCATCAGGAATGTTTTGCATTCACTTCATTGGGCATCGGCCTTCTAACGGAGTCTTCCCCGCTTGCTGTCTGACAACTTCTAACCCCAATCCTTTTCAGAGAAACACCCAGAGAGCCCAATACCCGTTAAAAAAGGAATATACCTTAAATTATAGGGGCCTTAATATTATGATTTAACGTATATTCCTTATTTAAGGGGTACTGGGCTCTCTGGGCAGAAGAGCCCATGATCTTGTATGGCCTGAAACCATCAACATGGCAGTCTCACTGTATAAAACCATAAAAAGTAGATCCTGAGTATATGGACCCCTAAGAAGAGGGGGGCATCTTAGTGAAAGCATCAAGATGCAAACAGAGCTTGCAATTCCCGAGCATCAGGCGTGCTCTTGTCAATGACCAAATCGAAGCTTTCGTCCTGAAGGGAAAAAACGTTCCAAGCCGATGCGGGCCCTATGTAGAGCCAACAATGTCCCACTGCAGAAGCCTCCAGACAAGTCTTAAAGCCAAAACCTTGCTAAACCCTCCTAAACCCCAAACCCGAAACCCTTTTGATTTTCGTTGCAGGTACTATGGCTCGGGGCAATCGACAAGCGTTGCTGGAGGAAGGCAACCTTCGAAAGTTCACCAGGTCCGTCAAGGATTAGGGTTTAGGGTCTAGGTTTTTTCTGTCACCTCTTTTCCACCTGCCTGGTTTAGTTAGGTCGAACGCCAGATTTAGGGTTTAGGGTTTAGGGTTTAGGGTTTAGGGTTTAGGGTTTAGGGTTTAGGACCAGGTCAGGCATCGTTCCTCCAACTGCAGGTCAAAGGCATCTCCGACGACCTCTCCGAACGCTTGGGCTCAGGTTTTCGGCTTTTGGGGGCTTCGGGTCCAGAGTTTTCGGGCTGCCAGTGATCGATACCCTAAGCCCCAAACTCTCAACTCCCGAAGCCCTAAACCCTAAAAACCTTCAGAATTTGGTGTTCAGCAAAGTTGAGGGCTCTGAATGCTCACGGCAAGTAGGGCTATGGAAGACTGCTGGGGCCCCTCTTTTTGTAGAAGACGCAAAACCCCTCAAAGCTCTGAGCCCCAAGCCCTAAATACCCTGGGTGCTCTAACACCGCACGTGCCCTAAATGCACCAAAACGATTTGAGGCACGAAAAGGAAGCTATAGGATGCTTAAGTGAGGATTGTTCATGCTGCGAGGGTACGAAGGATCCTTCAGGAAAAGGGAGAACTGGATTCCGAAGTTCTACCTGGGCCTCTAACTACCCAGCCTTTAGCCCTAAGCCATCTCTATTAACTTGTAAAACTGGAACCCCACACCCCCAAGCCCTGATCCCTAAACCTCGAACCCTGATTCAGAAACCCGCCGAAAGTTTCAGAATAGCTTCACTCAAGCTGCAGACCCTCAACCTGCCAATGGGTTTAGGGCTTAGGGTTTAGGGTCTAGGGTTTTAGGGTTTGGGGTTTAGGGTTTAGGGGTTTAGGGGTTAAGTGTTCAGGGTTTTAGGGTTTTGTCAACTCAGTGAAGATGACAGAACATGGGTAGCAGCCACTAAGAGGGTTCTGTAAGAAGGCCTTTACAAGGGCTCTGTTAAAGTTAAACAGGCTATGGTTACACGACCATGGGACTTAGCAACTAGGGTCATGATGATATAAATCCTGCATTACCCATAACAAGGAATATACCATAATTCCAGTAGTTTAGGGCCCTAAAGGTAATGCAGGATTTATATCATCAACAGAAAGTCATGTAAATATAGCTCTAATTACTTCTCAACCTAACTTCAAGTACTTCAAAACTTACTTGCTAAGCCCCCTAAACCTAAAATCGCATAGACTCCTTGTAGAAACCGATGATGAAGCCCCCTGAAACCTTACTATAGAAGCCTCAACCATTACCAATATTCTTCCTGAGAGTTCCGAAGCATCGTTAAACTATAAGGTACCCCCAAGCCCTATTTTAATTATTAAGGCCCCTACATTCGACCCTACACCTCTAAACCCCTAAACCCCTAAACCCAACCCTCGATGTCTTAAACTGCAAAACCCCCTAACCCCTGAGCCCCTAAGCCCCTAAGCCCCAAAATCATTAAGGCCCTAAGCCCTAAACCCTAAACCCTAAACCCTTACAAAGGTCCGCCGCATTTTCTGAGGGGTGGGCCCAGTCAATGTTCGGACGCGCCTCGGAGTTCCTTTGGCCTCGGGCTTTAGGGTTTAGGGTTTAGGGTTTAGGGTCTAGGGCGTCTAGGGTTTAGGGTTTCGGGTTCAGGGTCTAGGGCGTCTAGGGTATAGGGTTTAGGGTTTAGGGTCTAGGGCGTCTAGGGTTTTAGGGTTTAGGGTTTAGGGCTTAGGGGGTCTAGGGTTTAGGGTTTAAAGTTTAAACCCCAAAAAGTTGGAAACCGGACTAAGGACATAATAGTGCTGGGTTTCTATATATATATATATATATATTACTCTTAAGGATGGAGGCTATTGGGTTTCCAACTTTTGGGCTTCTACTGTAGGGATCTGGGGGTCTAGGGAGCCAAGGGTCTCGGGCTTAGGGCTTAGAGAATTGATCTCTTATTCTCTGTGAGATCCCCGGTTTAGGGCTTTGGGTTTAGGGACGGTTCTTGCCTTAAATATAGGGGCCTCAATAAGTAGAATAGGAGATTATTTCAACCCTAAACCCTAAACCCTAAACTCTATATTAGGCTTTCCGAGTGTTCCTTGTAAGATCCCGTCCTGAGATCATCTGCGGGCAGGTCATGTCTAGACCCTAGACCCTAAACCTTAAACTCGAAATCCCTACTCGGTAGTTGTAAGTAGGGTTATAATGTAAGTAGGGTTTAGTGTTTAGGGTTTGGGGTTTGGGGTTTAGGGTTGTTATAATATAAGTAGGGTAGCTATCATTATAACCCATATTCGGGGACTTATAACGCCACTTATAACTACCCATGAACCTCAGTCGGCTTTCAGGCCGCCACGCATCGAGTCAATGGCAACCTGCTGCAAAGAAGGGACTGAGGCCTAGGTCCAGGAGATCGGCTAAACCCTAAACCCTAAACCCTAAACCCTGAACCCTAAACCCTAAACCCTCAACCCCTGCCCGAGGAGGGCCGCAAAACCACACCCTGACCTTCCCCCATCTTCGGGATTGTTGAGGGTTTGGAGGGTTTCAGGGCTTTTAGGGCGTTTAGGGTTTAGGGTGTTTGGGGTTTTTAGGGTCTGCGGCTTTTAGGGTTTAGGGTTTTTGCGGTTTTTAACATTGGGGCCACCGATTTTTCTCAAACTCCCGTTCGTGAGGGGGAAGCCTTCTCAGAAAAGGGTCTAGGGGCTAGTGTTTAGGCAAGAGTTTTCAAACGGTGGCCTCGGATATGTCGAGGGCCGTGATGTTCTCGAAGCCATCGTCGTACATCTCCTGGCAGCACCCGCAGCTCTAAGCACAGGATAAACAGAATCTACAGCAACTTACCCATGGTCGTTGACCCACCCTAAGCCCTAAACCCTGAACCCTAGTCTCTGTTCATTGCGGGTGAAGATCACATCTTCCATGTAGATCCGAGGGACGAGCCCTAACCGGCGCCGGTGAGGGTTCAGGGTTTCCCAAACCCTCGAACCTCTAACACTCCCGATCCCCAACGTTCCCCAAAATCCTAAACCAGCCAGTATACCCTAAGATGAACCCTAAACCCTAAACCCTAAACCCTAAACCCTAAACCCTAAACCCTCAACCCCTAATTAGACGTGCAAACCCAAAGCCCCCAAAGCCCCAGGCCCGAAATATCCACTAAACCGGTTTAGGGTTTAGGGTTTAGGGTTTAGGGTTTAGGCTCCAAGCCCAAAGCCTCATGCCCGCAAATTAGGGTTTAGGGCTTTAGGGGAAAAATACTTAGAATAGGGTTTGGGGGTACACTGTAGGATACTCGAAACGAGGGCCCCCCCAAAAAAAAAGGCTTTCGGGTGTAGGCTTAGGGGTTTAGGGCTTAAGGCAAAAATCGTCTTGCCAAGGCCCCCTAAACCCTAAACCCTAAACCCCTAAACCCCTAAACCCTTAAACCCCTAACCCCTAAACCCCCAACCCCTAAACCCCTAAAGCCCTAAACCCGTGTCCTCCGCCAGCTTCGCATTTCCGCAGCCCAGATCCAAGACCTTTGCGGATCGAGGCCTGAGCATCGAAGAAGAAGTGGTGGAAACCCGAGAAGCCGTAGCTTGGGGGCCTCATTATGGGTTTAGAGTTAGGGTTTAAGGTTCAGGGTTTCGGGTTAAGGGTTTAGGGTTCAGGCCTTAGCGTTTTGGGGTTTCGGGTGAAGGGTTTAGGGAACCTACAACTCAGAGAAACCCGAGAAGCTGTAACATAGTTGGGTACCGCCCCCATACAGTAACAGTCTAGAATGGGGCTACTATTAAGGGCCTTATTATCTCTATTATGAATATTACCCAACTGTTACTGAGTGGGGGCAGTATCCAACATAGGGGCCTTATTATGGGTTTAGGGTTTAGGGTTTGGGGGGTATGATGACTAGAATAGGGTTTGGAAACCCTAAACCCTGGAGGCACTTGAACCCTGAACCTCTGACAGTGGACTCAAACTTCATGCGTACCGTATAAAAGTTTAACGAAGACGCCAATGCAAAAGCCCCTGCACCTACGTTGGGAACGGCCCCTGAAAGTCCTTATCAAATCCCATCGGTTTAGGGTTCATCTTAGGGTTTCGGGTTTCCCAAACCCCAAACCCCAAACCCTAAACCCTAAACCCCTAAGCCCTAAACCCTAAACCCCTAAACCCTAAACCCCAAAACATAAACTCTAAACCCTAAACCCTAAAACCTAAACCCTAAACCCTAAACCCCTAAACCGTAAACCCCTAAACCCCTAAACCCTAAACCCCTATACCCCTAAACCCCTAAACACCCAAAAACCCTAAACCCTAAACCCTAAACCCTAAACCCCAAAACATAAACTCTAAACCCCTACACCCTAAACTCTAAACCCCTATACCCCTAAACCCCTAAACCCCTAAACCCTAAACCCTAAACCCTAAACCCTAAACCCCAAAACATAAACTCTAAACCCCTACACCCTAAACTCTGAACCCCGAAACCTAAACTCTAAACCCTAAACCCTAAAACCTAAACCTAAACCCTAAAACCTAAACCTAAACCCTAAACCCCAAACCCTAAACCCTAAACCCCAAGAATCCTTGGTGGTTGCACTAAGGCGGGGTCCCTGCGTCGAGGCTGGCCGTCGCACTCCTCAGTCAAGCAAGGCTGGAAGCTCCCTCGCGCCTTGTGTGTCTGTGGAAGTATCTACCTCCCTATGAATATAAACGGTTTTTTCTGAATGATTGAATATAATAGTAGATGTATATATATATATATATATACATCTACTAATATGTACACATGAACAAATAAAGATCCGTCTACCACACCCCTAAACCCCTAAAGCCCTACACCCTAAACCCGAAGCCCCTAAACCCTAAACCCTAAACGCTCCACCCTCCACCCTCCACCCTAAACCCTAAACCCTAAACCCTAAACCCTAAACCCTAAACCCTAAACCCTAAACCCTAAACCCTATCCCTTGCTTTTCGTCAACCTCTACGACCTTCTCGTCTGCGCTGGCGTCTCCTGTCCAGTCATAGCACAATCCCCATCCGCACCTCCCGAAAGGCAATCATTGCGTGGTCAAGGGTTTAGGGTTTAGGGTTTAGGTTTTAGGGTTTAGGGTTTAGGGCCACAACCAGAGCCAGCATCACGTAACGCTCCCACAACATCTCGATGGGCATCGGGTCCTTAGTGATAAGGGATGCCCTCGCCGATTGAACCATCATTGTCATCATTACCATGTCCTTGACCAACCCTAAACCTTAAACCCTAAAAGCTCATCTTGCTTATCGCCTCAGGCAGGTCAACCAATCCCCATAGTCCATTCAACTCCTCGAGCCGCTGCCGTGGGAAACCTTTTGTCAGTAGATCTGCAAGCTGGAGTTTGCCCGGCACGTAGCGCAACTGAGCTTCTCCTTGATCAACCTTTTCGTGCAAGAAGGATGATCTTATACGTAGATGTCTCGTGCGCCAAGTTGCTGAGGAGCTCGGGTTTGCCAAAGCCAAGGCTGCTTGATTATCTATGCAAAGGGTCATGTACGGCAGCTCAACCCCAAACTCATCCACAATGGCCTTCATGCTCGTCGCTAAGGTAAGAGTTTCGATCGCCGCAACTAGCTCGCCCTCTCTGCATACGGCACCTATTATTTAGGGTACCCCAAAAGGGACCCTAATTTTTGACAACTACCCACATGTGAATGGCTGCCGCCCACTTCTCCATCCCGTCAGAGCTCGATTCCACGTGATTGTTCTTCCGCTGTGTAACCCTAAACCCTAAACCCCAGACCCTAAACCCTAAACCCCTAAACCCTAAACCCTAAACCCTAAACCCTAAACCCTAACCCCTAACCCCACACAATCACTCCATGCCTCGAAGCCGCCTTCAGTGGGATGAAGTTCCAAGGCCACACCCGCAGTCCTCTGCAGATATGATAGCAGCCACTGACCCCAGAGAACCCGATACCCCTTAATTAAGGAATATACCTTAAGTTATAGGGGCCTTGTTTTTATGATTTAAGGTATATTCCTGAATTAAGGGGTATTGGGTTCTCTGGGACCAATTGCTATCTCAGCCATGCTCCGAACCTGTAGGTGTAGTCCTCATAATTCCATGATTCAAGACCCATCACTTAATAGCATTGCTGCGTACTTCACTGCCACGGTCTGAATCTATTCGGGTAACCGGATATCCTACTGCGCGAACATCCACCACCAGTTGTTGTAGAGCAGGTAGAGCATGAGCCGATTTCTTGCTACTCACCGGAACACAGAAGTAACGGGTTTGAGTCATGAGCGGTGCTTTAAACTTCTCTTTCAGCTTCTCCTGCTCCTTCTCGTTTTCGGCGGGTGATGGTCCATCTTCCTCCTCCTCAAGCTGCTCCTCAGCTGGTTCCTCATCAGATGGAACACCTCCGTCATCATCGACGTCAGGGTCTTCACAGGCATTGGGTGACCCCGCAACTCCTCGTCATGCCGGAATTCTGAAGGCGCCAATGACAAAGTGCTAGAAATATTTGCCGTCGGGAGACTTGCCATGACCCTTCAGGGGACCTGCACCGTCAATGAAGTGGGTGTAGCCATTAGGACGCAAGGTCGCCCTATGTTGGCGGCCCGTGGCTGCGCTTCGAACACACAGGGTGCAATCACGACGAAACAGCTGAAATTTTCTCATCACATGAAGTCGCCGGGCAGCATCTTGTGACATCCTGGCCAATTTTACCCTGCCATATGCCCCCTGTTAGGCCACGAACCATTTCAGCAGCCTCCTCATAGAACATAGGGTCTGGAAGACATATCTCATCACAGTAGCGCTGGGTCCAGGAGCACAGTTACGAATATAGTAAGTTGTTGTCCCTTGGACCCCAAACCCTAAGCCCTATACAAGCCGTATGGGTAACTGGGCTTCTGGAGCTTCGTGGGAAATCTAGGGGCCTTTGTGAGTAGAACCGGGTTCCTAGGTATATATATATATATATGTATAATGTGTGTATATATATATATCTATCTATATATATATATATATATATATTTGTTTAAATGTGTATATATATATATATGTATATATGGTATCCCCCATATATATATATATATAAATCGCGTCGACAGGCTGTAGAAAGTTCAGCGCAAGCGACGGTGGACGGGGCCACGGAAAGCAGCATGGAAGAACCGTCGGCCTAAGAGTTTCGGGGTTTAGGATTCAGGGGTTTTGGAGGGTCTAGGGCTTCGGGTTTAGGTTCAGGGTTTATGGTTTAAGGGTTAAGGGTTTAAGGGTTTAAGGGTTTAGGGTTTAGGGTTTAGGGTTTGGGTTTAGGGTTTTGGGGTTTTGTACGCCGGCTACCATCTGCATAGTGCTAAGCGTGCCAGCTGATATCCAATCCCGGGTATTGCAGCGGTGTTGGTGCAATGAGGCTGTACTGATGAGGCCGGGGATATCTTACTGACAATCAAAGATGGCATGTTTTGACTTGTGGGGGGTTCTGTGGCTTTCCGTAGGGCGCTAGGTCTGATGACGACGATGACGATGAGGTTAGGGTTTAGGGTTTAGGGTTTAGGGTTTAGGGTTTAGGGTTTAGGGTTTAGTGTGTAGGGTGTAGACCGACGGCTTGTTTCAAGGATCCTGCCCTTAGGCCCTAGACCGGAAACCCGACCCTAACCCTAACTTGAATCCTGAATCCCCATCCAGTCCTTGCGTCCACAGATGCTACAATGGAGACTATAGGCAAACCCTAAACCCTAAACCCTAAACCCTAAACCTGGAAAAGTCCTTCTTCGATCGAAACCCTAAACCCCTAACCCTCCGGCTTAGGGGTTTAGGGGTTTAGGGGTTTAGTCTAGGACATTTTCAGGTGGGTAGTTACCGTTATAGGAGCCTTATAGAAGGTCTATATACCTTATGGAAGCCTTATAGAAGCCCTACATACCCTAAACTCCTCACCTGTGGGTTTAGGGCTCGTGCCCTGACAGTTTAGACTCTAAACCCTGACTCCTTGCAGTAGAAGCCCAAAAGTTGGAAACCCAATAGCCTCAATTCTTAAGAGTCTGGTATAGGGAATCCCAGCACTAATTGTCCTTAATCCGGTTTCCAACTTCTTGGGGGTTTAGTTTACTATAACCCCTCTCAGCCTCTCAGCGTTGGAAGTTGCGAAAGCTCCTTATGGAACTGGTAGAGCAACTGAGCGGAATCCGTAAAGGAACCCTGAAGAAGAAACCCTTCAAACCCTCACCCTAAACCCTTCAAGCCCTAAACCCCAAACCCTTCAAGCCCTAAACTCTAAACAACCCTAAACCCTAAACCCTAAACCCTAAACCCTAACCCCTAAACCCTTCAAGACCTGAGCCCTAAAAGCCTAAACTCCAATCCCTCCAAACAACAACCCAAGAGATCCGAGGCAAAGGCGACCTCAGTGAGGGCACCGTCGGTGAAGTGACAGACACCACGGCTACAGGGCCCCTCAAACTGATTCAGGATGGTTCCTTAACGGGACCTATAAGGGTTTAGGGGTTTAGGGGTTTAGGGGTTTAGGGTTTAGGGGTTTAGGGTTTTGGGTTTAGGGTTTAG